TACTACTAGGACCAGTCAAACAACCTTCAGGGAAATCAAAGATTGTCAATATTCACACTGAAGAATAACTTACTGTAGCACTCTTGGTTTTGTCCTCCTTTTCCTATTGTCCTTTTTGCCACCTAAAAGGATGCGAAGCCTCTCCCATCTATTCCATTGTAATGTGCCTATCACAATAGTATCTAGGCCTCTTTTCTTCAGTCTATGTATCGCTAGAATACGTTTGCAGTACAAATATATTCTTTCAATATTTGCTATTTTCCTCCCTCTAAAGAGTTCTCAATTTTTTTTGGTGCACAATTTGTTGTTTCTTCCCCATTTGACTTCAGTTCATTTGTCCATATCCTCCCTCTCCCCACCCTCCATCATTATTCTGCATTCACTCCCCCTCTTAGGTTGTGAGCGGGACAGTATATCTTGATTAGCTTCCAGATGTAGGTGATGAGTGTTTCAGAGCCATTTAAATGCAAGTGAGTTGTTACCTCCCACCCACCAATGGTTGCAGTTTAGTGGTGGCCACCCCCCACAAATGGTTGCACTTTAGTGGTGGCCAGAGGCAGTACTACATGGGTCAAATCCAGAGATCTTTGCCAGTGAGTGTGATGGGGTCACAGTTTCACCCTGATTTCTATTGTGTGTGCAACTCTATAGAGTTTTGAGTAGAGATGGGCCAAAACCAAACCCTGAACTTTGTAGGTGATAAGAATCCAGAACTGGGTTTAAATTGTAAATAACACTAAAAAGTTCAAGGGATCTTTAAGGAGGGGCACTACTAGATGTTTTTAAACTGACATTGCTCCAGATGTTTTTTTTTTGGTCTTGTTAAGAAATTTCAAGCTCACTCAGGAGCCTTCCAGTAATCCATGGTTCTAGAATCTAGGCTGGAAACATTGAGAAACTTCAAAACACAGCACCTGCAGAAGGTCACAAAAATGGGGGGGGGGGGGGGGGCATAAACAAAGTTAATGAAGATTTTGTGAACCTCTAAAGAGCTTTTAGGTTAGTTCTTATATTAATGAAACTGATTTGCTCAACTCTAAGCCACTTTGATATGGGCTGATAGTATTAACTGGATTTTGTGTGACTTGGGAGAATTTGATTTTTTTAAACAATTTGTTTATTTTAAAGTTTTTTTATTTTTATTGATTTAAATTTTCATAAGGTGAGGTAGTCAGACAATTATTTAATAGGAGTAGAGGTTTAGATTCAGAAAGTTAAAGTTTTATAACCATTAAAATACAAATTGTCAATATCACATGTCAAAATGTGCAAAATAAATATCCTTAAATCAAACTCTGTGTTCTTAAGCAGCATTTTCTTTACTTTGCCTATCTGTACATTTCAATTATTATCAATGGAAATTTTGTTTGTCTGTGCGTTGAAACTCAAATTGATGTTTACTGACATCTACTGATAAAAATCTAATCCTACCAACCCTACATATAGGTTATATGTAATCTGACAAGTTGAATGTTGTCTTAGTTCTATTAATATCATCAAGTGGAAGACGTTATCATTTGTTGTGCAAGTATATCACCTTGCTGCACTAATAAAATGAAGTGGAGATCTGCTGGTAACTGCTTATGCTGGTCATTGGGTCACAATAGAAAAAATATGGAGGTAGTTATGGTAAAAGTGGAAGTAAAAAGGGGCCTGCATCTTCCAGATTGACATATTTATCACCAATGCACGTTCCAGGAAACAGCCTTATCGTCAGAGCTTCACTCTTTCAAACTGGCACTCCTAAGAGTGGCAGGCTACAGCCAACAGCTGTACAGAAATATCAGTCTAATTTGACCAATCTGACTTTGAATAAAGTGAGCACACCCTTGACACTGTAAGTACTCTTGTCCATTCATAGGATGAGGGTGCAGAGAAGAGCAGTGTATCTGTTGGGGTGGGATGAGAGGATTGTCTGTGGATAAGACATGGTGCTGTCACAATGCCAGTTCCTGAGAGGTGGAAGAAGCATGTGGGTTGTCCTGTGGAGAAGCTGGGGCAGGCAGAACTAGTGGGTAGGAAGGAGAAGCTCCCTATAATGAACTACTGACATCTTACTCCAATGGGGTCACAAAAGAAAATACACTTGTGATCCAGACTTGAGTATAGGGAAGCTGATACTCCTACTAAGAGAACCCACAGGGACTATTAGGGATACTGTAGATTCCCGCCGTGGTGTTTGAACTGCTCCACACTGCAAAGCAGCAGCAGCACAAAATATGGTACTTGCTAAACAGCGGGAAAGGACATAATTGGGGTGGGGTTATTTTTCCTTTGCAATGATGCAATACATGTAATTAGCCAACATATATGTCTGCCAGCTGTTCAGCGCAGTCTTCACTCCCACCTCTGCTCCCAATGCGTGGGTTCTGCAGTTGTGCTGCACAAGCAGCATGAGGTAAAGATTCAGAGAACACAGGGTTAGCAGCACCATAGCTCATGGGATGGAGTGTTTCTCATCAGATAAGAGCATTTTAACTTCTGAGTGTCAATTCACCAGATAGTACCAGAGGTAGGTGAGTTCTTCACTGCCTGGCCATGCTCCTGGCACACAGCTGGTTAACCAAGTAAGTCCCTACCCCTGAATTACTGCCTCTTTAGGGATCCCTCCACCATTGCTCCCATTGGTGATGGTTGTACCCTACTCCCACCTCCTTGTACTGATGCTGATCTTTCCCCTGGCTCCATCTCTGCCAAAACCTCCCTCCTTCCTCTTCCACAATGGCCATGGGAGCACTTCTGGCATGAATGCTTGCAGACACATGTATTCACACTAGTACCGTTGTACTTGTGTGCAGAAGATATTCCTATAAACAAAATAAATAAATAAAAAAAGCACCTTATACTGAATGTTTGCAAATACATGGACTACAGTAAATATCACATACATTAAGTTCCAGCATGGAGCACAGGCCAACCTCATTATAGTGACCCTACACCAAGGACACCATGCAGAGAGCCAGAGTGAATGATTGATGAGTGAGTAAACATGGAGTGGTCTTTGTTCGAATACCCCAACCCCTTCCAAAATACTAATCAGCTAAAATTAATAACTACATGCCCATTGGGCATGCTTTTGAGACATGCGTCTCTTTTAAGGAAAAAGAGTATAAGAATCAAGTGAAGTAAATTACTGCCGAGAAAAGGAGAGAGGGGATTCCTTAATGGACGCTTGAAGAAGCTGCTAGAGAGAGTAGCCAAAACCTGGCTCCCTGGGGTCGAGTAGGACTGTGACCTGTGGGGTTTCCAGGCAGCCAAGGCCTCGCCTCGAGGGAATCTGAGACAGACCAAAGGGCTGAGGAGACTAGACCTGGAGGAAAGAAGTTGTCTGTAGAATTGGTAAAGCAGGAACTGTGTGAGGCTAGCACATGGCCTGTTTGTGAAAGAGAGGCTCACTAAGAGGAATGTATAGCTCGATGTATAGTTCTTTAATGTCTAACACAGGAGTTATGTGCTTAATGTAACCCTTTACCGCTTGTGTAATTCCGTCTCAAATAAACTGCAGTGTATGCAAGTTAATTACTGTGGACCTTTTTCATTGGTATGAAAGTAATCTGCTCCACTGGGAGCCATATAATGTAACCCTTTACCGCTTGTGTAATTCCGTCTCAAATAAACTGCAGTGTATGCAAGTTAATTACTGTGGACCTTTTTCATTGGTATGAAAGTAATCTGCTCCACTGGGAGCCATAAAAGATCTATTCGTGGTAGTAGCCCCCTGGTGCCAACAACCCTCATCCTCCCCCCTCCATTACTCCCTTTGCTTGCCTGTTACACGCATTGTACAATTAAGATGTAAAATTCTTGGTGGGCAGATCCTCGTAACTGGTGTAAGTTGTCTCAGCTCCACTAACTTCACTGGAGCCACGATAATTTACACTTGCTGAGGATCTGCCTCTGAGTTCTTTACTACGAGTACAGCACCTAGCATAATGAGGCCTGGTTAGGACCTCAGGACACAACCATAATACAGATAATAAGTAACAACTACACTGAAGTGGCACAAACAAAAGTAGCTTGTCCAAGGTCAAAGAGTTTAGAAATTCCTGGCTCCCAGTCCTGTGCTCCGCCTCAGTATTCCTCCTCAGTATTCTTCCCTTCACCCTTTAAACCATACATCTTTTGGAAACATATACATCACACAGACATTTTACAGAATGTTTTAAACTAGGTTCTGATCTGATAATCTCACCCACTTTATTTGCTTTCTGGAGTCTATCACACAGTATGTTGTTTTTTCTCATTCCCAATGTGAGACTACCAGAGGTTGGAATAAAATGTGCCCTAGGATGGCTAATTATCTCCTTTTTCGTGTAGGCTGCTAAAATGTACCATACTTGTCCAGTTATTTGGAGGGAAAGAGAGGGGACGGGGAAGTGAAGGTAAAAGGGTGAAAAAAGAGCACAGATAATATATAGTTTGGGACTAGTTGTTTTTTTAGTTGAAGTAATTTATATAGGTACTTCTGTCTCCCCCTCCATTGCCACAGTATCTGATTGCCTCAAAAACATTAACAACTGCCTTGTAAGAAACCTCCTCTGAGATAGGGGCATATTATCATCATCCCCATTTTACAGATAGGGATACTAAGGCAAAGAGAAATTGATCCCAGATTTACAAAACAGTTTGGTACTGAGCTCAGCTGAAGAAATGATTTATCTGAGATCACATAGATCTGGGAATTAAAACCTCCCAAATCCCAACACTTAATTGCAAAACGATCTTTCTTCTTTTAGTCCACAGGCGTGTATCAGGGTTTTAGTTTTTCAGAGTATAAAACAAAACCAGTGAAGTGGTTGTAAGATCTTCAGACAAATGAACAACCCTTATAAGTAAAGCACAATTACTTACACTTCCTTTAGTACGGTTCATGGAAATACTGAGGAATTATCCTGAACCACTCGTAGGCAAGGAGATTCTCTCTCTCCCTTTAACGAAAAATAAAGGAATATTGTAGAAAAATTAGTGCCCGTGCCATATAAGAACAAGCAAACTCTCACCTCTGCTTGTAGGCGTATTACACTAGTTCTGGATGAGTGATGCTCCCTGCTGCATGGAGAGGTGTGGAAACTGCGCTGGCTGCTGGGTTCTCCCAAGTAGGTCTTTTTCCTGCTCCGCCCTGCCCGGCCCCTTCTCGCTGTTGCTCAAACCTCACCTAACAGCCAACCTGATTGCGGTGATTAATGCCTGACAAAGAGAAACCACGAACCCACTGGGAGCATCTCGCTGATATGCCCAAAGCAATGGCCCGGGGTCGGGGAGGGTCTAGCCCAGGCTCCGCCGCGGCAGTTATACTTGTTATTGGAAGAATGCAGCCAAACAACTCGTGTCGCTCGGCCCCAGACCTTAGCATAGCCCGCTCTGCGGCCACGGGCCCGGCGCGCTGCGGGGCGGAGCGGACCGGGGAGCCCGCAGAGCAGGCGGAGGCATTGCAGTTACCCCGGGGCTGCGGGGCTGCGAGCCGAGCAGGAAGAGGGACGGGGAGCTGGGCGCGCCCCCCGCCCCGGCCACCGGGAATGCGAAGGAGGCGAGTCCCTGGAGCTCGGGAAGCCCAGGCAGCGGACCTCACGGCGCGACAGATCACAGGGGTCCTCTGGCTGCTGTCTCGGCAGGCTCCTGCAACAGCAAAACGAAAACAACCGCGAGCGGCCGCGGCACTGCAGGCAGCTCCCTGGCCCCCAGCCTGTGAGGTTTCCTGTCAGGGCCAAGCCCTAGGCAGTGTCCGCCTGGAGCAGAGAAAGCCCCTTGCAGCCCAGTGGGTGTTCGTGCTCATGCAGACCTGTGCCTGCTGCTGGCGCTGCCTGCGCACTTATCAGCCGTATCTTTAGGCAGGAGGGGGCGAGCAACAGCCTCTGGAAACCCGCTGGGTCCCGGGCGGCTGCAGGGGAGGGAGACCGGCGCAGGCCGCTGGCGAAGCGGGACTGCGGTTTCGCCGGGGCAGCGTGTTCTGGCGCGGGACGGAGGCTGCGGCCGCCGGGAGCGCCGGCTCGCTACCCAGCGCCCGCGGGCCTTGAGTGCCCCCCCAGCCCTGGCGCGGGAAGGGTGCGTTCGCCCTGCCTCCCCCCACGCCAGCCCCGAGCTCCGGGCTGGGAAGCGCTAAATCACCGGGGCAGGGGTGCTGATTTTCCTGCCCGGTGTGTTCGCCTCGGTATCAGCAGGGGGGTTTGGTTTGTTCCTACACTTCAGACAACTAAAATTACTACAGGACCCCAGGAGGGGGAGCCCAAGCCGGGCAGAGACTTGCTGCTGCGGGGGGAGGACAGAGGCGAAGCCGAAGGGCTTCATTCCCCAGGCAGGGGCCTGAGCCCTGCTGCCCAGGGTTGAAGCCAAAGCCTGAGCCCCGCCACACAGGGCTGAAGCTCTTGGGCTTTGGCCCTGGGCAGTGGGGCTTGGACTTCAGCTCTGGCCCGGGGTGGTGGGACTCGGGCTTCAGCCCTGGACCCCTGCAAATCCAATGGCAGCACTGGGGACTCCATTAAAATGGGGTCGTGACCCTCTTGGAGGTCCTGACTTACAGTTTGAGAACCGCTGCCCTGGAAGCACAGCGCTACACGGGGCGCGGGAGAGAGAGAAGAGGAACTCGGGGAACACGTTTTGGGTGGAATTTCCTATAGAAAAATTCACTGCAATTAAACTCAGACAAGCATGAACCTGTGTTACATCAGCTCTGCCACCCCTCCGCCCCTCTTTAGAAGATGTCACAGAATGCAGATGGCAGGAGGGTAAAAGAATGACATGGAAGCCAGCTATACTGCCAGTGCTAGGAGGAAGAGTTTTAAGAAAACCGCTTCTACACCTCTTAACACAGAAGGAGAACAGAGGTGGCTCTGGGCATGGCCCACGGTCACCTCTGTACAAGAAAGAGATAACATGAGACAATGCAGCTAATTAAGGCAAAGTTATTCAGCATAAGTATCACCAGCAATAAAGACAGGTTTCAGAGTAACAGCCATGTTAGTCTGTATTCGCAAAAAGAAAAGTGGTACTTGTGGCACCTTAGAGACTAACCAATTTATTTGAGCATAAGCTTCTGATGAAGTGAGCTGTAGCTCTAAGGTGCCACAAGTACTCCTTTTCTTTTTACCAGCAATAAAGGCATAATTGATTCAAGTATATGGCCAATGCCAACAAACACTGAAGTACAACCCTGAAGAGGAAATATCTTATACTACCTCACTCTTCATGCTTAGAGCTTTCCTTGACCTAATTCATTATTAAGTTCCCAAATTAATTTAACAAGTGGAATAATAGTGTTAAACGCATGTTGTTTGCTGAGTGCCAACAGTGGGCTCATAGTTAATACCAGAAAACTCAATTATACCCCTCACTCTACCTACATGTTTGGTTGAGAACAATAATTTACCTACTAAAAATCTTAGTGCTCATTCCAATAGCCAACAATAGATACTAAACCCAAATATTATTGGGTTTATTAACCTTTATGCAACCCTGACCTGGGTCATGTGGCTGGGGTCAGGAATAAGTCAGTTTCTTACAAGAATTCCTGTGCATTGTATTTTTATTAAGTTGTTGAGGTCTACAGCTTAGGTCCATTCTTTATGATACGATATGTGGTTGGCACAGCTGTGCAAAAGTTTTGTAACAAAATCTGGGGCCAGATGAATTTTTTTTGTTAATAAATCTAAAAACAGAGCCAGGCTCGATGAAACTTCAGTTATCTAGGATGAGTTTTGAATGAACCCGAGCAAATGTTTGCCTGTGAATGGAAACCAACTAACTCTTGAAAGTTTGGGCTGACTTTTCATTTTAATTTTTCCTTAGACCCGGGGGATGTATGCAAATTAACCTTCTGGAACATGGAGATCTCTAGTTGTAGTGTTAGAGAGAGGATGAGCTGGGTGGGGTTTAATTTCTTTTTTAATGTATCATTACAAAACAAGCTATGAATATATAAGTATCAAAATGAATATAATTAGATTTGCAACGAAGATTTGTATAAAGTGGGAAATCCATTAACATCAGCTCAATCCTACATTATAGTTGTGTGAGGTTTTTAAAGTATACCTGTTTAACTCAAGCTTCACTTTATTTTCCCAGGGCCTGCAGCAGAAATGATCCATGTGAGGTAGCTACTTAATATCACCTGCCCTCTGGATATTTGGTGGTAACACAAATGATCCAGAAATACTTGCCTGTATATAGTTAATGTTAAGCTTTGTATTATAAACACAGCTTTACACCTAGCTCTGCCCGAACCAAGCTGATTCATGTGAAATTTCAAACTGATGATTATACTAGACTTTTTCTAGAAAGTTTGGAGGCAAACCTCACAAGGCCTTTGAAAAATATTGTTTCCCACTAGTGAGTATGTACTACAAGGTCCCTGACACAATATGAAGGGTCAAAAGTTGACGTGGGTTTCAATTCTGGTACTTTTGGCTTACGGTCTTGGCTCAGCATCTCTCTTAAATGGTTTAGCCTAGAACATGAAATCAGTGGGTGCTGCTTACTAGCACATGGTTGCTAGGGGTTTCCCAGTAGTTCCTTAGTTACTGTGCTAATAATTATGCCTCACTGAGTGAGCCACGGGAAGGAGGAGACCATTGCCCTAATATGTGTTTTTATATGGGGGAAATCTTTTGATGACTGAGGGAGACAGCTATGGTCCTCACATAGAGACTCCTGGAGATCCTGTTGGGGAACCTCAGTGCTTTGAGGGGAAGCATAGGGGACACTGAACTATAGGAGTGAAGAGGAGGAGTGGCCAGACCCCTAGGATACTGCGGGTCCAAGACTGGGTGAGAGCTGGTGATTTGGGGAAGCACAAGCACAGGGGGATGTGGAAACCCACATACCTGATCACTGTCATAAAGAACCCAGATCAGCCTGGTTTAGAGGGGGGTTCTAGGCATGGCCCTAGTTCATCCAGTGGTCCTGGGACTCACCTGAGCAGGAGTCTGTGCAAATTGTGACAGTTTATGAAGTGGTTTTGTTTTGTGAAGAGACAGAAGCCACCAAACTAATTTTATTTGATACACACCACAGCCAGACTTGTATCTGGCCTCACAAGATAGAAAACGAACATGCTAACCAGCTATACTGCATTGTACTTCTGAGCAGTCATTGACATCTAAAGAAAGAACTCCATGGTGCTTACTAACACCTCTTCCCACCTCTTTCCTGCCCCCATTCCAACGCCTTCCCCAAAATCCCCACCCCAACTCTGCCCCTCCCTGCCCCCAGGGGGTGCAGGGGGCTCAGGCAGGGGGTTGGGGTGCAGGAGAGGTGTGGGATGTGGCAGGGGGCTCAGGGCAGGGGGTGCGGCAGGGGGTTGGGGTGCAGGTGTGGCGGGGGTTCAGCTGTAGGAGAGGTTCTGGGGGTGGGCTCTGGCCTGGCATGCACTGGGGCAGGGCAGGCTCCCCGCTTGCCTGCCCTGTCCCCGGGGGAACCGCGGCCAATGGGAGCTTCAGGAGGTATCTGGAGGCACGGCCAGGGCAACACACAGACCCCTGTGCCCTCCCTCCCCCAGGTCCCGGCCGCTTCCCGGAGCGGTGTGAGGGCAGGGCAGGCAGGTGGGGAGCTTGCCCTGCCGGAGCTGCTCTAGGTAAACTCTGGGGATGTGTGTTTGAGACCCCTGTTCTAAAATGTGTGTGTGTGATGGGTTGGACCCCTTGGGAAGCCACCTGATGTGCTGAAATACCACTGAGTCTACCTGTTCTGCCAGCATGGGCCCCCCTTTAACCTGTCTTGCTGACCAAGGCTCTTAAAACCTCCTCTCTCACACACACAGGCAGGCCCACACCCAGCTGCAGATCAGCTCTGGGAAGACTTGCTCCAGCACTCAGATGTCCACCTTCCTTGGAGTGCAGACCCAAAGATATATTATGAAATTCGCCCCCTTTCTCAATATGGAGAGAGGTGTTCTTACCCCTGCCCCAGTTAGAAATTACAGAAAGTGGGTTTAATAATAAGCAAAGCAAATGTTATTAACTATAAAAAGGCAGATTTTAAGTGGCAAAAGGGGTAACAAACAGAACAAAGCAGATTACTAAGCAAATGAAATCAAACACACAAACTAAGCTAGTTTCACTAAAGAAATTAGTTACAAATAGTATTTCTCACCTTAGATACTGTTGCAGGCAGTTTGAAAAGTTTCTGTGGTTCAGAGACTGGACCCCTGTCTCAGTCTGGACTTCCCCCTTGCCTTCCCTTTTGCAGTCTTTCTTCTTGGGCAGACTGGCCATGGAGAGGAGAAGTCCTGTTTGCCTTCCTCCCCACCCTGAAACAGGATTTACATAAGGCGGGAATCCTTTGTTTCTCAAACTTTGCCCCCCTTCACTTACAGTGGAAAGTTACAAGAAGTCCCAGGTAATGTTTTAGTACCAGGTGACAAGACCACCTGACCCTGTAGTATCACAGCGTCCATGAGTCAGTGGCAGTATGGAGGGTCCACAGGAAGGCAAGCTTTTCACAGCTCATTGTCCTCACTGATTGGCCATCTGCCCTGTCTGGCTTTTCCATTGTTGTACCTGAAGTGTTAGCAGTGGGCATCACCCAAAGTAGCATAGTTGAAATACAGATACATAGTCAATATTCCTAACTTCAGATACAGAAAGGATGCAGGCATACAAATTGGATAATCACATTTAGTAAATCATAACCTTTCCAATAAGAAAAGGAGTACTTGTGGCACCTTAGAGACTAACCAATTTATTTGAGCATGAGCTTTCGTGAGCTACAGCTCACTTCATCGGATGCATCCGATGAAGTGAGCTGTAGCTCACGAAAGCTCATGCTCAAATAAATTGGTTAGTCTCTAAGGTGCCACAGGTACTCCTTTTCTTTTTGCGAATACAGACTAACACGGCTGTTACTCTGAAACCTAACCTTTCCAATGATATCTCACATGAGCCATC